TTACCCTTTTACTATATAGAATAGAGGCCTGGTGCATGGGTGGGGCTGGCTGGTTTGCCCTGAAGGGTGTCCTGGATCAGGGTGGGGGTCCCCACTGGGGTGCCTGGCCAGCCTGGGTGAGGGGATGATGGCTGTTTGCAGCTGGTCACAACCCCTTCAGGGCGGGGGTCCCCACTGGATTGTCTGGTCAGCCTGGGTGAGTGGCTGGTGGCTGTTTGTAGGCTGGCCACAGCCCCCAGCCACCCAAGCTCCCAGTGGAGGCTGGCTGGAAGCAGGTATCTGGGATTTATGTATCTTCTATAATTGAAACTTTGTTGCCTTGAGCGGAGTTCACAGCTGGCCAAGGTAGGCGGGAAGCTTGGCTTCCTCCATGGCCGGGGCAACCAAGCCTCCTGCTTGCTCCAGCTCCATGGCTGCCGGCTGCCACCTTGGTTGGGTTAATTTGCATATAGTCGCTCTGATTGGCTGGTGGGCATGGCTTGGGGTGTAGTGGAGGTGCAGTCAATTTGCATGTTTCTCTTTTATTAGATTAGATGAGGTAAATTTGATATAATTATCTTATAATTTTATACCTATGGTGACTAACAATTTCACAACTGCAGGTTCCCATAGAAAAGAAGGAAATCTTATTTGCAACAGCATGGATGGGCCTAGAGAAAATATTATGCTAAGTGAAATAAGCCAGTTAAAGAAAGACAAGCACCATATAATTTCACTCATATGTAGAATCTAATGAACAAAATAAACTAACAAACAAAATAGAAACAGACTCATAGACAGACAACAGACTGACAGCTATTAGAGGGGAGAGGGGCTGCAGGGTTGAATGAAAAAGGGGAAGGGATTCAGCAAAAACAAAAACAAACAAACACGCAAACAAAAACCAAAAACCTCATGGATAATGCAGCTTCATGACATTTGGTATAATCACATGTTCACTGTGCAAGTGTTAGATGAACTCCTTTAAACTGGGAGACATGAGGCATGGCTTGCAACTCTCTGGGGAGACTGACTCATCTATTTCTCTGGGTAAATGCCTTCATGGATGGAGCTTAGATAAACATCTGGCAGAACAGTCCCAAGCTCCCTTATCCTAAGGACATTTCTAGTTGTTTATAAATTTTTCCATATTATAATTTCGTAGGCTGAGGAATTCCAGGATCCTCCTCCCTGGATTTTCCAGCAGGAGACTGGACCATCCTAATTTGCCATAATACACTTCCTCTTGGCGTAGAGCCCCCGCTTTGATGATCTCCAGGGCACAGTCTTCCTTTGGAGCTGCCTCGGCGTTGAGTACCCCAGACACTGCCTTCATGGCTGAGTCTGTTAAATGACAAGAGAAGTGGGGCGTTATCCAAGACTAGTAGAGCCTCCATCAGCCGTGGGCAAACTACGGCCCGCGGGCCGGATCCGGCCCATTCAGCTGTTCTATTTGGCCCGCGGAGCCGAAAGAGCAGAGGGTTCTCTTGCTCTCCCCTTCGCTCCTTCACCAGCAGCAGTGTTAACATGTATTAGTTCACACAAACACTCCATCCATGCTTTTGTTCCGACCCTCCGGTTCAGTTTAAGAACCCATTGTGGCCCTCGAGTCAAAAAGTTTGCCCACCCCTGGCCTACATCATTGAAAGGCCTGCTGACCCTAACAACTTAGCAGATAGGGGCTGTTTGCCAGTGCTTACTCTGAAAGGCCCATGGGCCCTATCGGGAACACATGGAGAAGACTGGGTAGGCTTAGGGTCTGTTGGGCAAAGAGAGGTTTCATACAGTCCCTGTCTTCCTGGATGAAGATTTGTGGGGGCAGTTAGAGCTAATTAGTTGAGAGATTTGAATCATGTTCTTCATGGGTGTTTTGATTGGGGGTGAGGAAGTAATGTGGGCGAGCAGAACAGAGAGAAGTCACAAAGAGTGCTGCATGATGACTCACCAAGGAAGAGGACAAGAATTCAGGCCTTTGCTCCCTTGTCAACATTATCCACGTTCACTTAGGAGGAATCTCTGTTATCTTCTCTCACCTTCCAGCTTTTCATGTTCTTTTTGCACAGCTTCTCTCCCTCTATCTCTTCCTTGTTTCACTGTGCGTCTCTGTCTTTCTCTCTCTCTTGTTCTATAACTGCTACTCAGTTTAATCAATTGCTCTTTAAATAAAGTTTTCTTATCACATTTGCCACATGTTTTAGATAAACTTGCACTTGGGCTTGTGAAAACTTAGAAAAATTATGCAAAGTATTCCCATACATTGTTCGCCCTGCTTCCCCTAATTATGCAAAGTATTCCCTTACATTGTTCGCTCTGCTTCCCCTAATCATAATATCATACATACCCATTGCACAATTAGCAAGAACAGGTGTGGTATAATTGGAACACTGTTACTAACTAAACCACAGGCCTTATTTTTTCACTAATGCCTTTTTTTTTTTATGATCTAAGATCTTATCCTGGATTTCACTTACTATTAAATTTTTCTTATTTCCCATCTAATCTGTGATAGTTCTTCAGTCTTTCCTTGTCTCTCCTGGGTCCATTGTTTTCTTATTGGAATGAGGTGATGCGTTTTTGGCAAGAATACTATGAACACGCTGCTGTGTCTTTTTCAGTGAATCATATCAAAGGGTTCATATTTGATATGTCTTATTACTAGTGATGTTATTAAGAAAAACAAACTTGTATTTGATATGTCTCATATAGGAAAGTAATGGCCATTTCAAATCCAAGAGGATATAAGGTGCTCAGAATAGGATCGAGTGATGTGTGTGGTGTCACTCAGCATATCTGGGGGTAAGAATGGAAAGAGGGGGTCAAAGAGTAGTCAGAGGCTCCATTAGTGACAAGAGCACTTCATTAAATGAGGACTTAGTGCTCTCACTGGCTTTCAGGTCACTACACGTGAATCGGGGAGTTCAGCACCCTCTACCCACAATGGTAAGACAGACGGTCCACCTGCAGGCCATTTATTCCAGTCTCTTGACCTTACCTGTGTCTATGAGGCCGAGGATACAGAGAGTGATTGACACATTGACCTTGGCCACTGAATATTCCGTCCTGAGGGAGGAGAAAAACCCATCGAGAGCAAACTTGCTTGCAGAATAGGGAGCAACAAGTGGACTAGCCATTTTCCCTAAAGAATAAATAAATAGGTTAATGAGGTGATTCCTTTCAGCTGATTTTGGCTTTATCTGTAGCAGATGTTTTAACTTCTATGGTGTCCCTTAACCCTTTAAAGCAGTGGTTCTCAACCTTGGCTGCACATTAGAATCACCTGGGAATATTTTTTTAAAAATCCTGATTTCTGGGCCTCATCCTCCGGAAGTTGTTTCTTTGTTATGGGGTGGGGCCACAACATTAGTAACAAAGAAACAATTTCTCTCTACTCCCTATAGAGATTATCATGCTGTGTTGAATTTATAAAAAGAAAAAAATTTCTTTTCCAACCTTAATATATAAAGAACTCTTTTTTTTTAAAAAATATATTTTTTATTGGTTTTTTACAGAGAGGAAGGGAGAGAGATAGAGAGTTAGAAACATCGATGAGAGAGAGACATCGATCGGCTGCCTCCTGCACATCTCCTACTGGGGATGTGCCTGCAACCCAGGTACATGCCCTTGACTGGAATCGAACCTGGGACCTTTCAGTCCGCAGGCCGACGCTCTATCCACAGAGCCAAACCAGTTTCGGCTATAAAGGACTCTTTAAAAAATACAATCAAATCTCTTTAGGGAACCAATCCAACTCCATCCTGAATCATGAGTTTTAGCTTGGGATTTGACTCTAATGGTGTGCAACACAGAATGCCCAACCAGACTACCTGGTACCACTGGGCTACTGACTAACCTAGGGCTGATCCAAATATCCGAGCAGGGTTGCAGAAGTGGATTGGTTAGATTTTAGTAAGGTTGGTACATAAGAGGGACTAAAAAAGAGCCATATAATCCCACAGCTGCTAACTTTTTTTTACCTCCAACCCAAGATATCTGGGGATCCAAGGGTTTGGCAAGAGCTCTCTTCAGGCCCGGCTGGATGTGGCTCAGTGGTTGAGCATGGATCAATGAAGCTGGAGGTCATGGCTCGTATTCCCAGTCAGGGCTTGCTCCCCAATGTGGGCTGTGCAGGAGGCAGCAGATCAGTGATTTTAATGCCTCTACTATTTTTGGCAGCTAGAATTATATAGTTTAATTCTTAATTAGGCCTTTGTTCTTCTGTTAACCACTCCTTCTGCTCAACTCCTTTTGTTCTCATGAAGTTAGTCAGAAGCTGCTAATAGGGTGTCTCCTTGTCAAGCAGGAGGAGATACCTTCAGGGTCATACAGAGAATTTATGAGTTTGTTTTGTGGAGGGAAAGAATGTCTTCAAGTTAGCTGTGAGCAGCTGCTGACGCCCAGGAGTCTGATACATATAAGCGTCATCTATACCTCAAGAAACACAGACTTCTCTCTCCGTTCCCTGAAACACCCCCTCCCAAATCCCCTAGCTGCATCAACACTCATTCTGTTTGCTTTTTGAGAGAGATGGATTTGAGAAATCTTGCTCTCCTGTCCTCTTGCTTTGTCCAAATCAAAGAAACATCAGTGTCTCAATGTTTTGGCTTTCCCTGTGCAATGGGCACTGGAACCTGAATTGTGGAGTGATTCACGTACACAGGTTCAGGAAGTTAGGATGTAGACATGTCTTTTGAGGGCCACCATTTAGCCTACTACATTAACACTGATGTATCTAGTCCCCATTCAAGGTTTGCACGTGTCCTCATCATATCCTTTAGAGATAAAGATCCAAGTGAGGCTCATATGTTGCATTTAGTTGTCATCACTCCCAAGCTACCTTTAAGCTGGAACATTATCCAGTATTTCCTTAACGTTCATGACCTTGACACTGTTGAGTACTGCCAATAATTCTGTACACGGTGATACCCTGGAGCTGGCTCCTACTGGATTACGAGAGCTGATTGCTCAATTTCATTGAATTTTACAAGCAGGCTGAGGTCATGTTGAAATGGCCATCACGAGGTTCTTATATATGGAAATGCTACACATAAAATTATTTGATTGTTGCCTTTTGGAGAGGTAGTTGTTAAACGTTTACCAGCACCCTGCCAATGAATGTCCCTCAGTTTTGATTTTTTTTCTGTTGTTTCCTCATGATTAGATTCAGGCTATGCATTTTTTGGCAGGATCACAGGGTTCATTCTAATTTTCTTCCTTTTCATACTTGTAACACTGACAGTGAGAACCTGATCCTCAGCATATATTATTCATTTGATTAATGCCCCCAGTATGTGATTATTCATATTTGTACCTTTGCCCTCTGTGTGGACATCCTCCTCATCCCCAATGGGCACTGAACCCCATGCCAGGCCACAGGGATGCCCTCTTTACTCCATGTTGAGCTGCCCCATTGCAGTCTCCTTTGCAGAGGCCCTTGTTGCCTCTATTATTATTATTATTTTTTTTTTAAATATATTTTTTATTGATTTTTCACAGAGAGGAAGTGAGAGAGACAGAGAGTTAGAAACATCGATGAGAGAGAAACATCGATCAGCTGCCTCCTGCACGCCCCCCACTGAGGATGTGCCCGCAAACAAGGTACATGCCCTTGACCAGAATCGAACCTGGGACCCTTCAGTCCGCAGGCTGACGCTCCAGCCACTGAGCCAAACCGGTACAGCACCTCTATTATTACGAGCCCATGCCAGATGCTGCATGGCACCCTCCTTGGTCTGGTGTGTACCAGGTGCCTGGTATAAACCAAACTACCATTGCTGCCCCTTGTTTGGACGCCCTTCCTATTTCACCTCGGTCTTGACGTTCCAAGTCAGGCTGCCATAGCTGCTCCCTGACACAAAGCTATTTCATTCTGCTCAAGTTTGACAACCTGAGCCAACAGAGCAATATTTAAGGATGATTATCCAAAGGATATAGAGGGGGCTCAGACATGTCTACCCCTGCCTCCTCTTGCTTGTAGCCTAACCCTGCCCTCCCGTGGCCTGGCTGATTAGACCTGTGTCAATAATTGTCCCTCTCTCGGTTGAATGACTTATGGGATTGACTTATACAATTCAGCTGAGCCAGCTAGACACCTCTTCTCTGGAAGGAATGTGGAGTTGGGAGATTGAGAGATCAAGAGAGTTGGCAATGAGGCAGAAGTCCAAAGCATATTGAGAGTTGTTATGTTGAGAAAGGGATGTGGCAGCCAGGCTGAACTATGCACCAAATGAAGCAGAGGCTAATAGAGAAGAATGAGAGTCAGGTATTGCATAGCCACATTCTCTCTGGGACGTCCCAAGGTAGCCTTATTTCCTGGTGACTTCTCCATATAAGGCCAGCTGTCTTTCCAAGGATGGACTGAGTCAGATGTGTGCCCAGTTATGGGCCAGTGATTTGGGACCCCTTCAAGATCATATTCATAAAATGTTGCTCAACATTTACTTAGAGACTACAGGGCAAGAGTGATTTTATAATGCCAGAAATAAAGGATTTATTACATGTATGTATTACATGGGAGTTCCTGAGACAGACATCTTCATGGAAAAACACTAAATAATTTATAACTCCTATAGTAAAATCAAGTATGCCAGATATTATTTGGATTCTGACTTTCAGGCATTTGTCAGCTAACTGTTTGCAACATTGGTAACTTTGCTTATAGGTTCATAGCCATGTTGAAAAATATCCTGCCATAAGTGCTTATATATATTAGTATTTATATTTGTGACTGCATTATATTTGCTGGGTGAAATGATAGGAACACTTGTTAAGACTATTGATACTAGATTTTTAAAAAATCAATTGTGAAAACCAGTTAAAATGAATACAAAAACCATACCCCTTTCCAACCAACAGTATATGAGAGTGTCTCTCTCACACCTACTTTGTGGAGTTAACAAAGCTTTAAACAATTTTGTAGGCAGGCCAACAAACCAAATTAAACAACAAAAAACAACAGCCCACCCCCACCATGGTATTTAGTAGTTTGGATTCAGTAGGTTAGTTGGTTTAGTCATTTGAACTTGTTTGTTTACTTGGGAAGTTGAGACAAGTTCTGTCCTCCTGAAGTCAGAGGAGAACTATTTTGTGTTTGCTACCAGGTTGAGACCTATCCCTTACTTTCCTTTTTATTCTAACAAAATTTACACCACACTCATGGTACAATAAGCAGTTCTGAAGTGTAGAAGATAAAAGCTGGGCTCATACTATATATACTGTTCTCTAAATTATTTTTCCTTTGAACATAGGATGTTTATAGTGAGTATGTATACAAATTTACATAGTATTCCACTTCAACTGAAGAATTTATTGCTAGTGGTGGATATTCAGGTTGCTTTCAGTGTTGTTTTTTAAATTAAATTTTATTGGGGTGACATTGGTCAACATGAACATATAGGTTTCATGTGTGGATTTCTAAGTTACAAAATCTGTATATTGCACCATGTGCCCTCCACCCAAAGTCACATCTTCTCCTGTCACCCCATATTAGGACTCTCTTCTCCCTACACCCTTCCTGCTGGCAACTGCCAAACTGCTGTTTGTGTTCATAAGTTTCAGTTTTATATCCCACAGATGAGTGAAATCATATGGTTCTTAGCTTTTGCTGTCTGACTTATTTCACTTAGCATCATGTTCTCCAGGTCCATCCTGTTGTTGTAAATGACGTTATTTTGTCCTTTCTTCTGGCTGAGTAGTATTCCATTGTGTAGATGGAACACACCTTCTTTATCCAGTCCTCTATCACAGGCACTTCGGTTGTTTCCAGTGTGTGTTTTATTCCTGTAAACAATGCCTTAGCAATCGCTGACGCTGGAATGTAGGCTTCATGTGGGCGAGCACCTGACCTCACCTGGCCTCTTTTGCTGGCTGCCATAGCCCAGCATCTGGCACAGGGCCTGGCTCAGAGTGGGCCCTCCACACATATTTTGTGAGTAAATGAATGGATATATTTGGGGAGCACTTGTGCAAGGTCATCTGTAGAATAGAGTTCTCTGATGTAGAGTTCTGCTCTCTTTCCGGCCATTCCTCATCTTGTGCTTCCTTAAGTGGACTTCGCATTGAAATCAATACTGATCTCAACAGGAATCCTCCTTGGGCCAAGCTCAACTTCTGACACTATATGTTCACACCACATCAAAT